CCTCTGTGCAGTTATTTCACCTTTTGACTCTCTCTAGCAAGGACTTAAAGCAAGTGCCACAAATGCTTGATCCTCACCAAAGTTTGTCGTCAGCTAAAATTGCTTTCAGAACATCAAAACATTGAAAACAAATTAAAGAAACCTATTACATTACTTTTTCTTGGAATTTCATTGGCTAGCTCAATGTCATTGGGAATGGAGGATCGTTAGTGTAACTGTTCCATAAAATTGGAAGCTGTTTGTTGCAGAGGCTTAAAAATGAAAGTACAGCAAATTTTCATTTAAGATTGGAGCAACAGGCAAGTTGCTAAGTATTTAGATCACCCACTGATATTAAAGACTCTTCCCATTCTATGGGACAGGTCAGAAGTTTGATGGCAGGCAATCTACTTTTGCTACAGGGGATGATGAGGTTAGGGAATTATTTCTGCTGCCAGGTTGGTGATTGCAGGATAAAATACCCTTGCCAGTACTACAAAGCCACAGGATCCCACCCCTTTCTGTGCCTGCGGAATTCAAAAGTTGTATCAACTACCCATTCTTAGCCTGTACCCTCTGATATTATATATTTCCTTACAATGATGATCAGTAATGAGGAAGAGGAGAATCTGATGGTGATTCTAAGAAGGAGAGGCAGAACATCATCCTTCTGGATGATGATGGTTATAAAGGGAAGGAAGACAATGAAGAGAGAGGAAAGTCTACCACAGATAGAGGAAAGCCCTGAACTAAAATCTTTCCCCATCAACCTCTGCTGCATTCCTCACTAAGTCATTCCCCACAACTATTACAATTTTTCCTTGACTCAGGATGCAGAGATGATTGCAGGCTATGGGTGCTGGGAATTCAAATTCTGTTAAATACATAAATAACTCTATAATAAAAAGTGACAGTAATGGTGACCACAAGGTGATTGAATTTTCATTAAATTCCTTCGGGTTCAGTGATATCCTTTAGGAAAGAAAAACTGTTGTCTTTACCTGGTCTGGCCTGCAAGTAGTTTAATCTTAATGTCCCTCTGAAACAGCCATATAAAGCACTCAATTATATAGGGATGGTTAATAATTGCTGGTCTTGCTAGCAATGTCCAAATCCTGGGAATGGATTAGTTAAAAGTTAGGCCCTTGGTCATTCACAAATCATGAGGAAGCCTAAGGAAAAGGTGACAGTGTGCTACTCGTTTGAATATGAGCATTGCATGAAATGGTATTTGAAGCAGATTTTGCAAATTACATATATTTTATATTCTTATATATTCTATTACTGATATAAACTTAAAAAGGAAACATTTGCCGGGCTATGGAGAATGAGAGCAAAGGAATGAAACTAATTGAAATAAAACAGAAATTGCTGGTGAAACTCAGCAGATCTGGCAGCATCTGAGTGTAGAAAGCAGAGTTAATGTTTCGAGTCCAGAACCCATCTTCTGACGAAGAGTCAACGGACACAAAACGTTAAACCTGCTCTGGACCTGTTGAGTTTCACCAACAATTTCTGCTTCTTTTTCAGACCTGCAGAATCTGCAGTTCTTCATTTTATTTTAGAGAAAAAAAATTGGAGGGGCATCAAGAGTATCTACTCTTTTGCACTCAATTTTAACAAAAGTTACAATTTATCAGAGAACTCTTTCCAATCCTCCTTCCTACTACCAGCTGGATTACAGCACCTGTGCTTCACAAGTTATTTGTCCTTCATATTATAATTATCTCAAACATTATAAAACAATGTAAAAATGTTGTCAATTTGACGCTCATGTAAGCTTAGAATCCATATGGCCTGTCTCAAATTTAGACAGGTAGTTGAAAACTATCACCAGCAGGAACACAAATCTTTCACTGGCTTCATTCTAGCTGTCATATAGAGATAACTTTAATTAACTCTATGAACAAAAAAATTCTTCAGGAATGAGTGTCTGTTCCTACTAGTGAGCACTAATTGCAATATAAGAAGGACCCATTCATAAAGAAAAATTATGTTCCCTCTATTTGCTAGAAGTTACTACTTTTGTTTTACATTGTTTTCACATCTCAGAGGCCATAAATATTATAAATGTGCTTTAAAGTAGAAAGAGACAGTCTCACACTGCAGAGTCAATTCAATTCTTGACATCTCTTTTAGATTCCACAAGTTTAAAAAGTGGTACTAATTCTAAAATCGATAAACATGGAGCTGGACAAACACAACAGGTCAAACAACATCAGAGGATCAGGAAAGTCAATGTTTTGGGCTGAAAGCCTTTGTCAGGACTGGGGACGGGGACAGGAGCCCAGAAATAAATGGGAGGGTGGTGCTGGGGAAAGGTAGGTTGTATAGTGATAGGTGAATGCGTGTAAGGGGTTATAGTGATTGGTCAGTGGGAAAGGTGGAGCGGATAGGTGAGCAGGAAGATGGACAGGTGAGATCAAGTCAGGGAGCTAGGACATGGGATAAGGCTGGAGATGGAGGGATTTTGAACTGGTGAGGTCAATATTCAGGCTATTGGGCTGTTAGCTCCCAAGGTGAAATATTAGATGTTGTCGCTCCAGTTTACGTTTGGCCTCACTCTGACAGTAGAAGAGGCCAAGAATAGACATGTCGCCGGGGAGCGTGTGGGGAAGTAAAAATGAATGGCAACTGGAAGGTCGGTTTGGTTGCTGCATGCAGAGTGTAGATGCTCCGCAAACCAGTTGCCTGGTCTGTGTTTAGTCTCCCTGATATAGAGGAGACCACATCAGGAGTATTGGATGCAGTAAATCAGGTTGGGTGAGGGGCAGATGGATCTCTGCCAGATCTGGAATGATTGTTTGGGGCCTTGGATTGCCATGTTACCACCGTACCACCAGGTGAGAGGGGAGCTGCTGCATCTCTTGCGGTTGCAGGGAAAGGTACCGGGTGTGATGGAGAGCTTGGTGGTGAATGTAGAGCTGATGATGGAGTTGCGAAGAGATCAGAGCCTGTGAAGAGCAGACAAGGGTGGAGAAGGAAATATCTTTGTGGTGGTGGGGTCTGATTGTACGTGGCAGAAATATCAGAGGATGATGCATTGGATTCGGAGGTTGGTGTGATGGTACTTGAGGACTGGGGGACTCTATCCTTATTGTTGTTAGGGGGAGGGGGCTTGGAGGCAGAAGTGTGGAAATGCAGGAGATGTGGTTAAGGGCATCCATAATTACAGAGGAGAGGGGAAGCTATGGTCTCTAAAGTAGGAGGATATCCAATTGAGAGCATGGGATAGCATTTTTGCAGGAGGGTAGGTGAGAGGTGGTTTAGTCAAGGTAATTGTGGGAGTCAATGGGTTTGAAATGGATGTCAGTGGTGAGTTGGTTTCCAGAGACGGAGACAGAGAGATCCAGGAAAGGGTGGGACGTGTCAGAAATGGTTCAGTTGAATTTGAGAACGGGTTGGAAGGTATTAGCGAAGTTGATGAACTGCTCAAGCTCCTTGTGGGAGCACAAGGCAGCACTGATATGGTTGTCAATATGACGGAGAAAGAGGTGAGGAATGGTGCCAGTGCAGTTGTGGAAGAAGGACTGTTCCATGAATCCTACAAAGAGACAGGCACAGCTCAGGCCCATATGGGTGCCCTTGGCCACCCCTTCGGTTTATACGAATTGGGAGCAATCAAAGGAAAAATTGTTGAGGGTGAGGACCAGTCCTGCCAAGTGATTGAGAGTGTCAGTGGAGGGGGACTGGTTGGGCCTACGGGAGAGGAAGAAGCAGAAGGGAGGACACAGGTATACAAAGACTGTATGTCCATGGTGAAGATGAGGTGTTGGGGGCCTGGGAATTGAAAGTTTTGGAAAAGGTAGAATGTGTGGGTTGTATGTAGGGAGTTCCTGGACCAAATCAGAAAGAACAGAGTCGAGTTGGGAGGAGATGGGCTCAGTGGGGCAGAGACACAATGGGTCAACCGGGGCAGTTGGGTTCATGTATTTTGAGAAGGAGATAAAAAAAGGGCAATGGAGGGTTGGGAAACTATCAGGCTGGAGCCTGTGGACAGGAGATCTCCTGAAGTGATGAGGTTGCTAATGGTCTGGAAGATGATAGCTTGGTGATCAGAGATGGAGTCATGATTAAGGGGACAGTAGGAGGAGGTTTCAAAGAGGAGGCACCTGGCTTGAGCAATATAGAGGTCAGTTTGCCATAGTCATCCCACACCTAGCTCCAGCTCCACACTTTGCCCCAGCCCCAAGCCATGCCGGGTATTCATCATCCTCCATACCTCCCCCTCAGTAAAGGACTCACCTTCATTCCCCTGCGCCTACACGTAAACAAATTCTGCACACATCTCAACGTTGAGCTCTTTTTCCACCACCTCCACGCCTATTTCTCTGAACAGGAATCCAACCCACCCTCTGACGACCCCTTCCCGTGCCTCCAGCAAACTCCATCCTCCTGGGCACTCCCTCCTGGCCTCCTATCCTCCCTCAACATCTTCATCTCAAACAGCCGCTGCAAAATCAATCACTTGGATCTCTCCACCCCCTCACTTATTCCAACCTCTCCTCATCAGAACGTGCAGCCCTCTGCTCCCTTCGCTCCAACCCCAACCTCACCATTAAACCTGCCGACAAGGAGGGGGGAGCACGGTGGTAACATGGCAATCCAAGGCCCCAAACAATCCTTCCAGATCCAGCAGAGAATCACCTGCACCTCATCCAATCTGATTGACAACATCCAATTCTCCTGATGTGGTCTCCTCTATATAGGAGAGACCAAACACAGACTGGGGGACTGGTTCGCGGAACATCTGTGCTCTGCATGCACCAACCAAACTGACCTTGCAGTTGCCTTCCATTTTTATTCCCCACCCACTCCCCTGGCGACATGTCTATTCTTGGCTTCCTCTACTGTCAGAGTGAGGCCAAACGTAAACTGTAGGAACAACACCTGGTATTTCGGGCCTTGGGAGCTAACAGCCCAATGGCCTGAATATTGACTTCACCAATGTCAAAATCCCTCCATCCCCACCCTTACCCATGTCCTGGCTCCCTAGCCTGACCTCACCTGTCCATCTTCCTACTCACCTATCTGCTTCACCCTTCCCACTGACCAATCACTGTAACCCCCTACCTGCATCCATCTATCACCATCCCACCTAACTTTCTCCAGGCCCACCTCCCTCCCTTTATTTATTTCTGGGCTCCTCTCCCCCCTGCTCAATCCTGACGAAGGGTCTCGGCCTGAAATGTTGACTTTCCTGATCCTCTGATGCTATCTGACCTGCTGTGTTTGTCCAGCTCCACATTTATTGACTCTGACTTCCAGCATCTGAAGTTCTTAATGTCTCCTAGGTACTAACTCTAAACGTGTGTTATGAATACACTGACAGTTCTTCAAAAGAAGCCACTGAATTTGTTACATATTTCTGTGCGTCACATACCTTCTGGGATACATTGACCAAGAACAAATTTATAACCTCGACAGCACTTTTTCCTGAAAAAGAAAATGGATATTTATCGTATAGAACTGGATCACACAGCTGAGTTTATATGAAAGCAAATATATGATATACCATGTTTGAGATTATTACTCGCTCCTATCATTTTCAAACAACCACTAAAAGTGAGGTGCCAGATTTTTGGAGGACCTCAATCTCATGCAGATTACCACCCCAGAGCTTGTTTCTAGATGAGTGAAAAGTCAAGGTGCACTGTAAAGTAATGTAGTGTTTAGGGCTGGTTGGGGTGAGCGGGAGAATTTGGGTCAGGTCTGATGAGGGGAGGGACAGGGAGGTGGGTATCAGGTCTGGGAGCTTCAGGTCCAGTGGAGGCAGAGTGGGGTTGGGAGGTAGAGGTTTTGGTTGGGTCCAGTTCGGGGGATGAATTGGAACGAGGTGTCAGGTCAGGTTCAGCAGTAGTGGAGGCAGGTTGGGTTACATCCAGTCCAGCAGGAGTTGGAAGGGTTGGGGTTGGGGGGATAGATTTGGTTTGGGAGTTGGATCAGGTCCAGCTGGTTAGTAGGTCAAGGGGAGCGGGGAGGAGTGTTTTGGGTTAAGTCCCACCTGCTCAGTGGTGTGTCATATGTGTCTGAACAGGTTGATTTGATGTATTTATCAGGAGGTGAGATGACAGAGCTTTAGAGGGAAAGGGGTAACACTGGGGTTTGGGAGTAAGGGTAAACAACAGTCAGCACCACCCTGGCTTTGTTGGGTGTACAGTCAACGACTATGTCTGACATGTTGAAGGCTATGCCTAGGGCTCGGCAGGCAAAGTGAGGAAATAAACAGCTAAAGAAACAGAGGGCAAGCAGCATCAGAGGAGCAGGAAGGCTGATGTTTCAGGCTTAGACCCTTCTTCAGAAAGAAGGGTCTAGGCCCGAAACGTCAGCCTTCCTGCTCCTCTGATGCTGCTTGGCCTGCTGTGTTCATCCAGCTGTACACCTTGTTATCTTAGCTAAAGAAACAGGTTGGGTGATGTGGAAAAAATCAAAGCCAATGGGGTGGAGAGGAAGGGAAAAAAGTAGCAATCACCTTCCAAGAATCCATTGCTGGAAAGGTGTAGGAGCTGCTCACTTCACAACTTGGATCATAAAGCCAATATCCTACATGACACACTGACTTTCTTGGATACTGTAAGGTGTGATGGTGAAGGGACAGGTCCTCATTATTGTTGCCACAGACACAAACTGCTATGGTATATGCACCAAAATGCTTGAGTGACAGACATTTGAATTAGGGCAATGTCAATGCGCAGGCATTGCACTGACCTCCCGATGGGGTTTGTAGGTTCCAATGATTGGAGGAGATTGGATAATTGTTATTTGTGAGCTAACTGGCCACATTACTGAGAAGCTGCTTTGTTTTTGATGTTGTGCACAAAGGCTCATTGGAACAGTCACCAATGGATCCAAGCACAGACTCTGTGGTTATCCTCTGTGACCATTGCACTAAGAGTTGCTATGTGAATGGATGAGGAACACACATGTTCACAAGCCCAGGGCCAGCATCAACTGCCAGCCAATGTGGAGTTGATCAATAATGCAGAACTTTCAGTCTGAGGTGCTCTTATGTTGCTGGAAAGGCGCAAGGAAGTTACAGCTGCTTATTTTCCATTTAATTCTGTACAGGTGAGACCGTGGGATTATACTCTAATCAGAGACGGAGGTTGGAGCTCCATGTCTTTGCGTTCAGCATTTCTGCCATCAAATACCTTCTTCACTGAGGCCAACAGGAAACATAGGATGATGCTTGTTTGGAGCAGCGGGAGCGCAAGCCAGGGTGCCGACAGGAAGGTGAGGTTTTTTCCCTTATAAAAACTTACCTTGTGCAGCAGCAGCCTTCTTGCTTTCAGCGGCGGGTGTGTGGAGAGAACGCGAGCCAGGAAGGAACTAATATATTTGAGCATTGGCTAAACCTGTAACACCACACGTGTAGTGTCTCCCACCCATCCTCCTCCTCTAACCAAAAAAAAAGACTGTGTGGAGGGTCGGTAAGGTAAGGCTTTTTTTTTATTCTTCTGGAAATCCAGAGTAGAGGGGATGGAAGCTAGGGCAGTTGCATGCTCCTCTTGCAGGATGTGGGAGGTAAGGGTCACTGCTGGTGTCTCCTCTGACTTCACCTGCAAGAAGTGCACCCAACTCCAGCTCCTCACAAACCACGTTAGGGAACTGGAGCTGGAGCTGGACCTGGACCTGGATGAACTTCGGATCATTCGGGAGGCTGAGGGGGTGATAGAGAGGAGTTATAAGGAGGTGCTCATACCCAAGTTACAGGAAAAAGGTAGCTGGGTGACTGTCAGGAGGGGGAAAAGGAATAGGCAGACAGTGCAGGGATCCCCTGTGGCCATTCCCCTCAATAATAAGTATACCATTTTGGATACTGTTGGGGGGTACGACCTACCAGGGGTAAGCCATAGCGGACAGGTCTCTGGCACTGAGCCTGGCCCTGTGGCACAGAAGGGAAGGGGGGAGAATAAGAGAGCAATTGTAGTGGGGGATTCAATAGTAAGAGGCACAGACAGGCAGTTCTGTGGACGCGAATGAGACGAACGGATGGTATGTTGCCACCCGGATGTCAGGGTCCGTGATGTCTCAGACCATGTCTTCAAGACCCTTAAGGGGGAGGGTGAGCAATCAGCAGTCATGGTACACATTGGTACCAATGATATAGGTAGAAAAAGGACAGAGAATGTGAAAAATGAGTACAGGGAGTTAGGTTGGAAGCTGAAGTCCAGGACAAACAGGGTAGTTATCTCTGGATTACTACCAGTGCCACGTGATAACGAGGTAAGAAATAGGGAGAGAGTGCAGCTAAACATGTGGCTACAGGGCTGGTGTAAGAGGGAGGGCTTCCATGATGTGGATAATTGGAGCACATTCCGGGGAAGGTGGGGCCTGCACAGTAAGGACGGGTTGCACCTGAACCGGAAGGGCACAAATATCCTGGGAGGGAAGTTTGCTCGAGCTATATGGGATGGTTTAAACTAGATTGGCAGGGGGTGGGGAACCGGATTTGTAATTCAGAGGATGAGGTATTCAGCCTTCCAACACACACAACAGGGAGTGAGGTTGTTAATAAAGAAATGCGGTTGATGGAGCGTAATTGTGGACACAGAGATGGTTTGAAGTGTGTATACTTCAGCGCTAGAAGTATCAGAAATAAGGCGGATGAGCTTAGAGCATGGGTCAGTACTTGGAACTACGATGTTGTGGCCATTACAGAAACTTGGGTAACTCAGGGAGAGGAATGGTTGTTGGAAGTTCCGGGATTTAGATACTTTAAAAGAAATAGGGAGGGTGGAAAAAGAGGTGGGGGAGTGGCATTGATAGTCAGGGCTAGTATAGCAGCTACTGAAAGGCAGTTCGAGAATGATATGTCCACAGAGTCAGTTTAGGTTGAGGTCAGGAACAAGAGAGGAGCAGTCACTTTGTTGGGGGTTTTTTACAGACCCCCTAATAGTGGCAGAGAAGTGGAGGAGCGGATTGGGAGGCAGATACTGGAAAGGTGCAGAAGTCACAGGATTGTAGTCATGGGTGACTTCAACTTTCCAAATATTGATTGGAAACTTTTTAGTTGTAATAGTTTAGATGGAATGGATTTTGTCCAGTGCGTTCAGGAAGGATTCCTGTCACAGTATGTAGATAGACCAACACGAGGAGAGGCCACTTTGGATTTGGTGCTTGGCAATGAACCGGGCCAAGTGTCAAACCTGTTGGTACGAGAGCATTTTGGCAGTAGTGATCATAACTCTATTACTTTTACAATAGTCATGGAAAAGGATAGGTGCATACAGCAGAGTAAGGTTTATAATTGGGGGATAAACCAATTCTGTTAGGCAAGAACTGGGTAACATAAATTGGGAACAGATGCTGTCAGGGAAGAGCACTATAGAAATGTGGAGATTGTTTAAGGAATGCATACTGCGTGTGCTCGATATGCTTGTTCCTAGCAGGCAGGGAAGATGCGGTCGCGTTAGGGAGCCTTGGTTCTTAAGAGAGGTCGAACGACTGGTTAAGAGGAAGAAGGATGCTTATATAAAGTTCAGGAAACAAGGAAGGGAAAAGGCTCTAGAGGGATACAAGTTATCTAGGAAGGAGCCGAAGAAAGGGCTGAGGAGAGTTATAAGGGGACATGAGAAAACCTTCGCAGATAGGATCAAGGAAAACTCCAAGGCTTTTTACACGTACGTGAGGAATAAGAGAATGGCCAGAGAAAGGGTAGGGCCAATCAAGGATTGTAGAGGGAAATTGTGCACGGACCCTAAAGAGATAGGAGAGGTCCTTAATGAATACTTTTCTTCGGTATTCACAACTGAGAGGGATCTAGTTGTAGAGGAGGGCAGTGTGCAACAGGCTGGTAGGCCAGAGGAGGTCAATGTTAGTAAGGAAGATGTACTAGGAATTTTGAGGAACTTGAAGATATGGATGATAATGGAATAGTTTAGGTTAGATGGGCTTCAGATTGGTTTCACAGGTCGGCGCAACATCGAGGGCCGAAGGGCCTGTACTGCGCTGTAATGTTCTATGTTCTATGTTCTATGTTCTAAGTCTCCCGGGCCTGATGGGATTTATCCAAGGATTCTATGGGAAGCGAGGGAAGAAATCACAGGGCCTTTGGTGATGATCTTTTCGTCCTCATTGTCCATGGGTATAGTGCTGGAAGATTGGAGAGAGGCAAATGTCATTCCCTTGTTCAAAAAAGGGAATAGGGAAAACACCGGAAATTACAGGCCAGTTAGTCTTACGTCAGTGGTGGGCAAATTATTGGAAAGGGCTCTGAGAGATAGGATTTATGATCACTTGGATAGGCACAGTTTGATTCGTGACAGTCAGCATGGATTTGTGAGGAGTATTTCATGCCTCACAAACCTTATTGAATTCTTTGAAGAGGTGACCAAACACGTGGATGAAGGTAGAGCAGTGGATGTGGTAGACATGGATTTAAATAAGGCATTTGATAAAGTTCCCCATGGTAGGCTGATGCTGAAGGTAAGGAG